GGGTCCTGTCGCCGGCGTCCCGCTCGTCCCCAGCGCAGCGGCCGGATCCTTCGAAAGGGAGACGGGTTTTGGTGCTTCCCCAATGCCAGCCCTTTTCCCCATGAGTTTCTCCTGCAAAAACTTCCGCCCTCTCCAGGCTAAACCAGCCCGTTCTGCTCTCTGCCCCTGTTGCGCTTTGCGCAAACCCCGTGTTGGTTGTTGCAAAGGGGCACAGGACACCCAGCTGCAGTGATGGCAAAGTGATGACAGGTCTCCAGGTGAGAGTAGGGGCATCAAACAGGAGAGACTGGGGATGAGAGGAATGCAAAGGACTCCCTGGAAAACCCAGGAAGGAAAGCTAAGGCTGCCACCTCCTCCCTCGTCCCTTTGCCAGATTGCTAATAAATACATTAAACAGCCCTGGGATATCGGGGCTGGCTGGGTGTGATCCTGCTTTGATGCTGGCCAGGATGCTCCCTACTCCTCCCGTCCCGGAGACACCATGTCCATGGAGAAACCATCTCCAGGGCCCGAGGATGGGTCTCCCTTCCCATCGTGACCCTGCCCAGGGACCCAATGGTACCGTTGCCTCCCGAGGTGTCTGTGTGTCCTGGGACATCCCCTCCGATGCACCGTTTGCCTCTGCCGTCCCTGCATCCAGCTCCTCTGGGGCGGCCTCACTCGCTCCATCCATCCTCACCTTCAGCTTCCTTCTGAAACACGGAAAAGTCCCATCTGCCCCAAATCCCTGGTTCTCAAGGAGCCCTCAGGCCAGGCTGAAGCTCGCGGTCCCGATCCGAGCGGCTGCTGTCGTGTGCACAGGGAGCTTCGGTGGCCGATCCCGGGTGTCTTCCCATCCCGGGGCCTCCTCTGGGCCCAGCAGGGACCAGCCCCGTGTGGGGACGGACCCCATGTCCCAGCAGGACCAGCACCGTGTCCCACCTCTGCTCCCCATGTCCCACCTCCGCTCCCGGCTGCTGTTTGTGCCCGACTCCGGTTCCCCCGGCAACAGTCAACGGCGCCGGAAGCGCCGCCGAACGGGACGGGGGGGGCACCGGGTGGAAACGCTCCATCCCCATCCCCAGCCCCATCCTGGCCCCCGAGCGGGACTCGCGGAGCCAGAACCAGGAATAGGATCCGCTCCAGCCCCGCAGCCCCTCGCACGGAGGGTCCTGGGGCCCCTCGGAGCCGCCGCCGCCTCCGCTCGCAGCCGCTCCGGGCTCTCCTGCCTGGGGACCATGGCTCTGCTGTTAAGCTTGGATAATAACAAACTAATAACAACTTCTCGCTACCTAATTTGTTTTTCCCTTCTGCCCAGCAGGAGCCTGGTGCCCCGCGGGCAGAAAAAAACGTTTTGTTCCCATTTCCAGTCGTCTCCTTGCCCTGCAGAGGCTGCGGCGCTGCTGAACTCCGCTCCAGCGGCACAGCCAGACGGATCAGAGGGTCTTATGGATGCAGGGCCAAAAAACTGCTT